TTGGTGCAAGGCACGGTAGGGATCCGTTCATCTTCACCCGAGCGCCCACCAAAGGCCCTGCTTCCTTGAGGAGTCGGTCATAAAGTCGAACCACGGGCCTCACAGTGTGGGAGTGCCTCCCCGCTGCGGCAGCAAGGCCCACGATTCCTAGACCAAACAATGCCTTGATCTCCGCAGCAGTGCCCAGAATAGCTTTGATCACCCCGAGAGGATCTTGGGCAGTCTGCACCGGGGACTTGTCATCGGACGGGCCCATGGCATCTCAAGATGTCGAGAACTGTCGTGGCGTGTGCTTTCAGGTACCTGCGTCGAAGCCTTGCATTGCCGGACTTGTTTATGACGTGTTCTCAAAGCATGGAAAGGCAGTCCTGGCTGACATGGCTGCGCGACAAAACACTTGTTTAATCTGAAAGAAAGATGAAGCGCAATAGAACCCCTATTTTCGGAAACCCCCATTTGCACCTGGTTCGGTGGGACTGAACTGAAGCTCCCAGCTGACGTGGGCGGTGTGCACCAGCAAGACCAAGTACGCACCAATCCAGTCGGTACCATCAGCCGCACATGGATCCTTAAGGACGAAAATGACCCTTAAAAGCAGGGGCCCTATGCCCTCATACTATGAATCCCTAGATGGTATATGAACCTTAAACCCTTTTAGGGTTTATTTCGTCCTTGAGGATTGGCCATCGTTTTCCGACCATGTTTGCAAGGAAGCCGCTTTCTCAAGCAGGCACCTGGCAAGACGCGCCCCCTAAACCCTAAACCCTAAACCCTAAACCCAGAAAGGTGCAGTCGGCCTGAGCTGTCATCTGACCACTCGTCCATGCCGATGGTCACTCTGTGGGTAGTTCTCTAAATTAGGGTCCCTTTTAGGGTCCTTTTTATAAGGGTGCCATACTATATTGAGGACCTAGAAAGGTACCCCTAATTTAGAGAACTTCTGTAATCAGTGAGAACGGTTGTCTGAATCACAACCTCAAGGACGAAATGACCCTTAAAAGGTAGGGACCCTATACCCTTATACTATGAATCTCTATATGGTATACGAACCTTGAATCTTTTTAGGTTTCATTTCGTCCTGAAGGAATGGATAGCTGTCGAGTAACGGGCAGCATTGCCAAGACCGCTGGCGGCCTTGGAAATGCCACCGCGAACACGAACATAGGGGCATTCATAACTAGAATGGGGTTTTGGGGCCCATGATACTCTAATTATAATAAGGAGCCCCCCAAAATAGTATAGGTAATTCTTGAAGCCCCCTATATTACACCTCTAAACCCCCCTGCCCGAAAAGCAAATCTTAACCTATGAAAGCAAGGGTCCCCACTTGCCTACACCCCAGATGCCGGAAGCCCTAAACCACAAAGTTTAGGGTTTAGGGTTTAGGGTTGCGGGTTTAGGGTTTAGGGTCTAGGGGCAAGTTGTCTGCTCGGAACGGCCTTCCCAATATAGGCACCTTATCAACGAGAATGGGGTTTCGGGGCCCACGCTATCATACTTGCAATGAGGAACCCTATTTAGGCTCCCCAGAGGGTCCGAGTACCCAAATAGTAAGGTTTTAGGTCCCAAAACCCATACTCTGAATGGTTTTTGGACCTTGAAACCCTACTATTTGGGTACTTGGACCCTATTTAGGCTCCTATATTAGCCCAAAGAAGAAGCCTTGAGAGCACAGAGTGTTTGTTGCGATCGGAGTCCCCAAAAGCAAGCACTGCCTCCTGCAGCTCCTACGAAGCCACAAACCCCAAACCCTTCAACCCTTCAACCCTAAACCCTAAACCCTTAAACCCTTAAACCCTAAACCCTTAAACCCTAAACCCTGAACACCTAAACCCTAAACCCCTAAACCCTAAACCCTAAACCCCAGACCCTTAAACCCTAACGATGGGGCAGTCATCGCTCCAAGGCTGGAAATTCTACGATTTAGGGTTTAGGGTTTAGGGTTTAGAATTTAATTAGGGTTTAGGGCTTAGGAAATTCTACCCAAAGGCTCCATGCTAGAGTCTGTACTTATATAGCCCTATATACCCCGAAGCCCTATTCTAATCACTGAGGCCCCCTGTATTAGGCTGCTACCTAACATGGGAAGACCTCGAAGACCATAGACGGCACGAATTCTTATGAACTCCATAGATACCTGCAGCCTCAGTAACGGTTTAGGGTTCAGAGTTTAGGGTTTAACTTGGGGCTAATTACCACGACCCGAACCCCTAAACCCTAAACCCTAATACCTAAACCACTAAGGGAAAATTGCAGTTGTTGAGCTCAGACGCAGGAAGCTCCGCGATGCTTGGAAGCGTGTAGGTCTGGCAGCATTCCAATGCCGAGGTGAGGTTCAACCACTAGATTAAAGGAAACTACAGGTGGGGAGTTTAGGGTCTATAAGGTATATAGACCTTCTATAAGGCTCCTATAACGGTAACTACCCACCTGAAAATGTCCAAGACTAGACGCTTGAGAGTCAGACGAACCGCTAGAACCCCCCACAAAGTCAGGACTGCTGCTGGCATCAAGTTCTGTGGAGGTAGAGGGTGGATACGGGTGGCAGGCGGGGGCGGGGGATGGGATGGAGCGGCAGGAGCTGGTTGAGAAAGCATTACCCTAAACCCTAAACCCTAAACCCTAAACCCTAAACCCAAAGCAACACCCCTAATCACCAGACGGTTCAACCTTTCTCTTCCTCTAGGATACCCAGCAATTTAAGAGGAAGGGCTCCCTTGTTGGTATAGGGCAGTATTTTAAGGAACCTAAGACCACAGAAAGGGCCCACTGCGAGACCAATCAAAGCATGCGATCGCCCTGCGTGCTGTGAGGATGCCTTCTTGCCGTGCACTGATTGGCTTTTGCTTCAAGTTGCTATTCCCTAAACCCTAAACCCTAAACCGTGGCCTCTTGCCGTGCACTGTTTGGCTTTTGGTTCAAGTTGCTAAACCCTAAACCCTAAACCGGACGTGTCCCGTGACATTTTTGGTGCCACCACCGTCCCGTGCGCCTCCTCCTCCTCATCAACCTGTGCAGGGGTCGGTCTTCTGATGTTCGGTTTAGGGTTTAGGGTTTAAGGGTTTAGGGTTTAGGGTTTAGGGTTGAGGGTCTTCTGATGTTTGGGATATAAACAAGGTTACCCTAAGGCTCACAATAGCCCAAAAGCCTTATATCGTATGGTCTTTGGGTCCAAAAGCCTTAGAATATGAGTCCTTAGAGCCTAAGGGTTAGGGTTTAGGGTGTTTAGGGGTTTACGGTCTTGGGGCTGGTTTAAGGGTCTAGGCTTTAGGGTTTTAGGGTCTTGATTTATCGTTTGGGGGTTTAGGGTTCAGAGTCGTTGGAATGTCGCACATGGACTACTCGAAGAACCATGGGATGTACGTCTGCTCATCATGACTCTATCGGTATTTTCGGCGAACAATTTGTGATCATGCACATACACAACATGTGTACATACATATGTACATACATACATACATGCATGCATACATACATACGTTGCATATATATATATATATATTTATTTATTTATATTTATATTTATTTATATATATATACACATACACACATGGTTTGCTGTGTCAGCTGCTTTTGTCGAGGGGTGAGTAAAGTTTTTGGAATTAACTACACTTACCAAAGTTTGGTAAACAAAACTTGGCCTAGACCCTTCAGAGAACTCGTATATATCTTAGCACCCCATTCCACACTACCATCAACCCACCGCACCTTGTCCCTTCTCTGTCGTGCGCGAGATTCAGCGGTCGCCAGCGGAGCGATTGAAGTGGGACCTGTTGAGGATTATATAAGTCCCTAAACCCTACACCCTAAACCCAATAGGGACCTTAATACATAGAATATGGATTTTAAAGGGTTCATTTCTTATGTTTTATAGGGATTCGGATCTACGGTTCTGGGTCCTGGGTTCGTGTACAGTGTACAGATGGTCTCCAAGTTCCTTTTCTGGTTAAACCACTTTCATATTTAGGATCCGATAAGGTAACCCAAAAAAGGAACTACTATGGAGACGAAAGGTAGAATAAGGTTTCGGCGTAATTAAACCCCACACAAACAATGACACAAACACGACCTGTCGAAGATCGCGCAGCTGGGGCCAGTGTCCTGGGCTTTGGAACCATCGCACATCGGAAGTGCACTGAGCCCTAAGCTACCATAACCTACCCTTTCTGAAGGTTGCTATTTATTAGCCCTAAACCCTAAACCCTACACCCTAAATTCCTAAGCTTGTGATACCCAAACGATTAAGGAGCCTCAAACCCTATTCTGATTGTTAAGGCCCCTACATTAATCTCTCAAACCCCAAACCCCAAACCCCTAAACCCTAGACCCTAAACCCTAAACCCTTAATGTAGGGGTCTTAATAAATGGAATCGAGGTTTGTGGGGCATCTTGATAGTGTTGGTAACCATTTAAGCACCTATGTTAAAGCTCTTGTGCCTAGCACCTGTCCCCAGAATATTTGTAATTAGGGTTTACATAGAGCCTCTGGAGAAGTAAGACCCTAACCCAGTTAAACCCTAAACCCTACCCTTACTATAGAAGCCTAAATGACTAGACTGGGACTTTTAGGGTTTAGGGTTTAGGGTTTTCTATCGGGAAACTCATCGTTCTGTGTTGTCCGGCTTCAGACGTTGTAGGGAATATCGAAATTTAGGGATTTGAGGTTTAGGGCCTCAGGGCGTATATATGGGCCGATTCTGGAAGGTTCTAGGAGGCTTGCTTTCATGTAATAATCAAGGGCAGTACCTTAAACCCTGAACCCTAAACCCTCAACCCTAAACTGAACCCTAAACCCGAAACCCCCTAAAGGAACCGAGCTAATGAAGCAGCAGGTTCAGCGGCAGATCGTTCACAAAGTTGTCGGCGTCCGCCTCCTGGCCTCGTGGGACGATTGGGCCAAGGAGCTTTTGGGTCTAGGGGCTGCCCTACGGCTCTTATTGCTGTTATGGGCTTTCTAGGCGAAGGCTTGGGCTGTGGGGGCTAAGGTTTGGGCTTTCACTATGCAAGTCCATGAGCCTTAGGGTAATGTAGGGGCCTTAATACTTAGAATAAGGTTTAGGGTTTAGGGTTTAGGATTTAGGAGTTCGGTTTATGTTTTGGGTTTAGGGTTTATGGTTTAAAATTTAGAATTTAGGTTTTAATGTAGGGGCCTTAATAATTAGGATAGGGTGTTGGGGTATATTATACTACAATAAAAATAAGGAGCACCCAAAATAGTATAGGGAATCATTCAGGTCCCTATATTACCAGGACCCCAAGTGCCCTTTCATAGAGCCGTGATGATCCTCAATAGTGGGTATTTAGGGCAAATCAGAGGGTGGTTGGGGGGTCTAGGTAGGGCTCAGGGTTTAAACGGGTTTTGGGGTTTAGCGTTTAGATTTATTAGGGAGTTTAGAGTTTTGGGGCTTTTCGGTTGGGGGTTTTAGGCTCTTACCCTAACGCTCATGGACCCCCATAGTGAAAGCCCAAACCTTAGCCCCCAAAGCCCAAACCTTCGCCTAGAAAGTCCATAACAGCAACAAGAGCCTTAGGGTAGTGTCTTAGTGTTTAGGGTTGAACCCTAAACCCTAAACCCCAATAAGCACGGTGTCTTTCGTGGGTCACCAAGACTTCCTCTCTGGGCAGCACCTTTTCCCTCTAATGTAAGGATACTGTAGGGGCCTGAATAATTAGAATAGGATTTGGGGGTCCATAATGCTATACTCATACTAAGGAACCCCCAAAATAGGGTTGGCAATTATTTAGGCCCCTATATTACACGCAAAGGCGCTTATTGCTGTTATGGGTTTTCTAGGCGAAGGTTTGGGCTTTGGGGGCTTTGGGTTGATCTTTCACTATGGGGGTCCACGAGCGTTGGGGCAGGCTCTAATATAGCTGCCCCCAAAAAAACAAGGAATAGTTCCCTAGAGTTGAGGAACCCAAGACCGCCACAAGGGTTTAAGGACCGGGGTTTGGGTTTAGGGTTTAGGGTTTAGGGTTCAGGGCGTGGAGTTGTCAACAACACTCAGCAGGTTTGTGCGCCGCATCCTGATTCGGGTTTCCTTGTTGCTTGATCTCTCCTGGAGCGGTCAGGCATCCAACGAAGTCTGGAAGCAGCGACGAAGTCAATACCAGACGAACAGCTGTTGTAGGATGCTCTGCAAGATCCCAAGCAGGCCCAGTAAAGGCTACAGCATTCGACCAGCTGCCCCTGAAGACGAAGCCAAAACAGCACATCACCGCTCACCACGTGTCTACGCGACAACGCCGTGAAGTGAAACTTCGCAGACTGCCGGGTAGTTGAATGCCCTCCAAGCTCTGGTTGAAATGTTACCCAAACGCCAAACTCTGCAGTTGGATGCCATCCAAGCTCTAGTCGAAATTGAAGCCAAACGTCAAATCATAAGGCTGCTGGGTAGCTGGATGCCCTCCAAGCTCTGGTTGAACTTGTCGCCAAACGTCAAACTCTGAAGGCTGCTGGGCAGCTGGATGCCCTCCAAGCTCTGGTTGAACTCAAACGTCAAACTCTGCAGGCTGCTGGGTAGTGGGATGCCCTCCAAGCTCTGGTGGAAATGGTAGCCAAACGTCAAACTCTGCAGGCTGCTGGGTAGTGGGACGCCCTCCAAGCTCTGGTTAAACTCGTCCCCAAACGTCAAACTCTGCAGGCTGCTGGTGCTGGGTAGTTGGATGCCCTCCAAACTCTGGTTGAAATGGTACCCAAACGTCAAACTCTGCAGGCTGCTGGGTAGCTTGATGCCCTCCAAACTCTGGTTGAACGTGCGGCCGAACGCCAAACTCTGCAGGCTGCTGGGTAGCGGGATCTCCAAACTCTGGTTGAACTCGCTGCCAAACGCCAAACTCTGCAGGCTGCTGGGTAGTTGGATGCCATCCAAGCTCTGGTTGAAATTGAAGCCAAACGTCAAATCATAAGGCTGCTGGGTAGCTGGATGCCCTCCAAGCTCTGGTTGAACTTGTCGCCATACGTCAAACTCTGGAGTGCTCGGCAGCTGGATGCCCTCCAAGCTCTGGTTGAACTCAAACGTCAAACTCTGCAGGCTGCTGGGTAGTTGGATGCCCTCCAAGCTTTCAAGCTTAAGTAGTCCCTCTATCGGTATTTTAGGGCCAAAGTATTCGGATACAGGGATAGGATATAATTCGCCTCGGCCCCCTGGCCGAAGCGGTCAGAGGCTCCTATTCGGATTCCCTCTGTGCTTCACCTCTTAATCCTCTCCCCAATGACCCCCACCCTCCAAACTTACGGGGGTTGTCGTCCCTGTGAACTATAAATGAGCCCCAGTCCTGCGGCGAAGCCCAGCCCGCCCCTGCCCCGCCCCTCCCCCCCTCCGCTCGCCCCGCTTTCCCGCCATTCTTGCTTCGGCTTTTCCGCCATTCTTGTTGCTTGCTTTCCACCTTCCTTTTTTTCTCCTGCCCGTCCCAACTGCACTGGCTGAGAGCGGCAGCCGTCGATGCGCCACAAGCCATAGGTCTTTAACGATTGCGTTCGCCTCGGCCCCGGCCGATTCAGCGCATACGTGTGCAGCCGGGCCGAGGCGGGCGACTCGAAGCGTTTGAACCCCTAAACCCTAAACCCCTAAACCCTAAACCTAAATTAAACCCCAAACCCTTTAAGGCAACCTTAAACCCTACACCGAGGAATCCTGGTTCCCTTGCATAGACCGGCGCCTGACCCGTCACAGCGAGTCGAGGATCGGGAAAGCGGAGCGTCGACGGAGGGCCCATTCACCTGATTGAGTTTAGGGTTTTGGTTTAGGGTTTAGGGTTTAGAGTTTAGGGTCGATCGCGAAAAAACTGCTGCGTTTCAAGGGCCTTGATTGGGCCTCAGAAAGCAAGGTTTAGGAGTTTATCTATAGTCTTCATTGTACCTCCTTGTTGGGTTACCTTCAGGATCCTACTTGCAAACGTAGAAAAAAGACAAATAAACTACATTGGAGACTACTAGTAGTCTTTATGTCGCCAAGACAAAAAGGTCCGTAACTAAACTGTTGAAGGCCCGTTCGCCTGAAGCGGGTGTTGTTCGAACAGCGCAGTGCTGCGGAATCTAGATTGTGCTGTTCTACCATAGTTCAGGCGGAATCCGGGTTCCGTAAAACCCAAACCCCAAACCCTAAACCGTGTATCGGGGATGTTGTTCTACCCTGGGGCCTTTCCGATGGCGTAGTGGTAGTGATGATACACTGCCTAAACCCTAAACCCTAAGCTAAACCCTAAAGCCCTGAACCCTATAACCCTACAGCCCTAAATACCCTAAACTCTAAAACCCTAAACCCGAAAACCCTAAACTAAACCCTAAAACCCTAAAACCCTAAAACCCTAAAACCAAAACCCTAAAACCCTAAAACCCTAAACCCTAAACTAAACCCTAAAACCCTAAACCCTATAAGCCCTAAAGCCCTAAACCCCTAAACCTCGAAGCCAAGCTCGTGGACTGAGCAGCTTAGGGGTTACCCTAAGGCTCTTATTGGGTTTAGGGTTTAGGGTTTAGGGCTTTAGGGTTTTAGGGTTTAGGGTTTAGGGTTTAGGGTTTAGGGTTTAGGGTTTAGGGTTTAGTTTAGGGTTTAGGGTTAAGGCTCTTATTGGGTTTAGGGTTTAGGGTTTAGCTATGCGAAGGTTTGGGCTTTGGGGGCTAAGGTTTGGGCTTTCACTATGGGGGTCCATGAGCCATCGGGTAAGGCGTAACAAATCTAACGGTTTTAAGGGAATAGGGTTGAGGGTAGTAGGGATCTAAGGGAATCCTGATAAGGAGCCCTAAAAGGGTAGGTTGCTTTGGGGTCTGAGTAGGGCTTATCATAACTCAATCAAGCTTGCTTTAAAGGGGTATGTATGTTGCAGTACACGTAACCTAAACCCTAAACCCTAAACCCTAAACACTAAACACTTACATGTATATAGAGACCTCAAAAGGACTTTTAGGGTCCGAGCCGCAAGTGGGAAAGCCCATTTAAACGGTTTAGGGTTTAGGGTTTAGGCTTTAGGTAAGTAGTCCCTATATAGGTACTTTGGGCCCAAAGTATAGACTATTTGGGCACATAGACCCTTGGGGCTACTCTCCAAAAGTTTCTTCGCCGCCCTAAACCCTAAACCCTAAACCCTAAAACCCTAAAACCCTAAAACCCTAAAACCCTAAACCCGAGACCCTAAACCCTGTTTCTTCACAGCCCTGAGCCCTAGAACCTCAAGATCGCACTGAATCTGCAGCCTGCCCCTAAACCCTAAAAGCCCTAAAAGCCCTAAAACCCCTAAACCCTAAACCCCTAAACCCTAAAGCCCCTATAACCTAAACCCTAAAGCCCCTAAAGCCCCTAAACCCTAAAGCCCCTAAACCCTAAACCCTAAACCCTAAAGCCCCTAAGGCCCCTAAACCCTAAAGCCCCTAAACCCGAGGCGCGACGTTTGGGAGCTTCTGGCTGCAGAGTTCCGAAGCTACGATGGTGGGACCCTTTCGGGTTTGGGGTTTATAGGACTTATAGGGTTTATAGGGCATATAGGGTTTATAGGGCTTATAGGGTTTATAGGGCTTATAGGGCTTATAGGGTTTATAGGGCTTGTAGGGCTTATAGGGTTTATAGGGTTTAGCGTTAGGGTGTATAGGGTTTAGGGTTGGCAGTACACCTTTCACAACGTACTCTTCAGGCTGACATGTTGCCGTTCTGCAGCACGACATGAGCTTTCAGCCTAAATGGGAGTTTCCGAGAAGAGGGGACCCTAATATAGTACCCTAAATAGTAGGATCCCTATTATAAGGACCCCAATATTAGGGTCCCCTTATTTTCGGAAACTCCCAAATGCATGCCAGGACACCGTCCCCCCGTGCCTGAGCATGAGGCAGGACGCGTGACGTAGGCACCCTGTCACCCATAGTAGATGAACCATCCCTAGGAGATTTAGGGTTTAGGGTTTAGGGTTTAGGGTGATTACAATACACACAAATTCATGTGAATCTGCTTAATGCCCTTTTGGAGTTTATGTATACCCTACACCTAGACCCTAAACCCTAAGCCCACGAACGAAGGGCACTGAAGATGAGCCTACCGACTTGAAAAAAGAGCCTTGTTTTCAGGTTTCAGATCGAAGAATTCCAGGGTCTATATGCTTTATAGGGTTCATACTGTACGAGGTTTGACGGGCTTTTTCAGGTTTATGGGTCTTACAGGGCTTAGCGTCTGGGGCTATAGGGTTCAGGGTCGCTCCACCTATAGTCTCCACTGTGCTTCTTGGGTTTCACAAATTGTGTCTTTAAGTTCCTAATAGGAAGCCCAAGAAGGAACTACAACTAAGGCTCACAAAACTGACACCAAACAACTCGTAAACCCCAAACTTGATAATACGACTTGTTCCCATCCTGATTTCACGGCCCTTGCCAGAAGTGAGCGGATCCGTCAATGGTCTACATCAAGACAAGGTTTACTGTCGGGTTGCGGGCCCTGGACGAGATACATTAAATAGTTGTTATAAAGGCGGCCGTGTTAACTTGTATAGCTTTACCGCACGGACCTGGACCTATTTCAGCATAGATGGGTTGCGGGTTGAATTACGGGATCCGCCTTACTCCTCGAAACCTGTGGATCAAGGGCCTTTCATAAGACTTCGAAACTGTGACCGCAGCATCAAGCTGGAAGTTAGCACATCCCAGACCATGCGCAACCTTTGAGTCCCCAATGCTTCTAAACTCTATTAGGGTTTAAAGTTAAGGGTGTAAGGTTTAGGCTTGCTGTTCGACATTGGGGACTGATTGCATCTCGACGATGGCGTCAACAACTACATCGCCAGAAGACCCGTCATGAAATGCCTCAACTAGATATCGTCTTGTGGTGGTGGTAGTAGTAGTAGTAGTAGTAGTAGTACTAGCAGCAGTGGTAGTAGAAGATGGGCGGCAGCAGCAGTCGCAATATCAGTCGCCGGTGGCAGAGGAGCGCCTTAATCCAACCCGAAAAAGTTCAAGTAGCTGTATCCTACCCCAAAAACGCTAAGCCAGGGTTCAGGGTGTAAGATGTTAACTTATGGTTTCAACCATAAACCCTATAATCCTAAACCCTCAACCGAGGGGCTCAAGACCTTGAAAGTTCAGGGGTTTGGGGGCGGCTGAGGGTTTCGTCTTAAGGGCGCACAGGCTTTAGTGCGGTGCCATCACTTCCATATTTTTTAGGGTTTAGGATTTTGGGTTTAGGGTTTTGGGTTTAGGGCTTGATGCCGGATTTAATCAATCAAAACTACAATACACATCCCAAGACCCTTTGCAGAATAGCCACGGTCTACAGTGTATCATACAACACCGACAGATGCCAACTCTGAAACCTTTCGCCAACAAGGGTTTGCAAGGCTGGGTTGTAGTCTAGGGCCACCGAATTATGTCTAAACAGGTAATGTAGTGGCTTCAAGAGCTACCTATATTATTTTTTGGGGGTTCCTTGTTACGATTATACGATCAAGGACCCCAAAACCCTATTCAAATTATTTTGGGCCCCTATAGTACCTCCAGAAGACCGGCAGGGCAGTCTACCCTAAACACAAAACCCCAGAACCGTCAACCGTCAACCTTCATTACCCCAACGGATATTAAGCACCTTCGTAGAATGTACGGATGCGGGGAGGGTTTCGGATTTAGAGTTGAGGATTTAGGGTCTAGGGTTTCGTACAGTAGAATGTAGAGTTTCGATAAGGGTTTCGGATTTAGGGTTGAGTATTTAGGGTCTAGTGTTTCTTATAGCAGAATGTAGGGTTCCATAAGGGTTTCGGATTTAGGGTTGAGTATTCAGGGTCTTCTTATAGCAGAATGCAGGGTTTCTATAAGGGCTTAGGGTCTAGGGCTTCGGATTCAGGGTTGAGCCCTGCGAAGTATTCAGGCACTCATACGGTTGATGAGATAAATCCTGCATTACCCAAACTACGGAATATACTGTAAAGGCCTCCATAATTAGAATAGGGTTTGGGGGTATATTATAATTATAATAAGGAGCCCCCAAAACAGTATAGGTAATTATTTAGGCCCCTATATTACCATAACTCCCATAGTTTAGGGTCCTTAAGGTAAATTCAGGGTTTATTTCATCAACCGTATTACCTTTGCAGCGAGGTGCGTGCTTGCAGCGCGATTTCGCGAGCTGCTGCGCGACTCGTCCTCAAAGGAGCTTCCATGACTTATATCATCCACGAAAGGTTTAGGGTTTAGGGCTTAGGCAGGTTCTTGTTGGATATTCGGGCCCAAAGGAATATACTGATAGTCTAATTAGTAGATCCGTCCCCTTAACCCTAAACCCTAAATCCCTAAACCCCTAAAACCCTAAACCCGCAAACCCTAAACCCCTAAAGCCCTAAACCCTAAACCGGAAATCCCCAACGCCCTAAAACCCTAAACCCTAAACCGGAAATCCCCAAACCCCTAAAGCCCTAAACCCTCAGCCCGAAATCCCTAAACCCCTAAAACCCTAAACCCTCAGCCCGAAATCCCTAAACCCTAAACCGGAAATCCTCAAACCCCTAAAACCCTAAACCCCAAACCCGAAATCCCTAAACTCCTAAATCCCTAAACCCCTAAAACCCTAAACCCGAAATCCCGAAATCC